GGCAGAAGAAAAGTAATGAGGGTTAGGAAGATAAATGAGTACTGGATACCGCTGTGTGATTTTTAATGATATTTATCCATCTAACCAAGGATCCTCACACACTGGATTTCAGAAGCCTAGCCAAGTAATTCACACCTCCCTATGTGTCTGGAGCCAATATTCAATCACCTTATGGATTGGTGTTCCTTATGGCCAGCTTAACTCATTTTTGATGTAGTTCTGCACCGGACAATACTACTGGTCTAGAAAGACAATTGTTCGCACGTATAACATGTCCAGGTCACCTTGGTCGTTGCAGTTTCGTGTCACTACGTCGTATCTCATGATTGCGTTTCGTACTGCTCAAGCTAATTCGAGCAAGTGAACAAAATCACCTACGGTAAAAGGCCTCTAGTTTTTCAATTCTTTTACCTTTGGTGGTGTTAATTAGTTGAAAAAGTGACAATAGGAAATACACATTTCCTCTTACAGACAGCACAATATCACGCCTATTGCAAAGACGATAAAATTTGACAAACGCTAAGTTAGTCTTTTATGTGCATGTTGATATTTCAACACCGACTAATTCATTTGGACCGATGCTATCGACCAAACAAGTGACCTACGCAAAGTATTCAACTACTTTACTTCCTATACACTTTAAGAGACGTCTGCGTTGTCAGTCCTGTTACATTATCTTAAGTTAGACCATGAAGTGCATGCCGAACACTCACTTCACTTCAGTGTTTCTTTGGCATCTACACCTGAAGTGAATATATCGTCTACATCATTCTAATTCGATAGGATTTCTACCCGGTTGCAAGTCTATTCGTGAAAGGTTGGAATTCAAGTGTTTCTACACCCAAGAAAAGCGTTATTAGATTCTAATCTCTGTCATTTTAAAACTATACTCGAAATTTCCTACTACATGATTCGGTTTCTTACAGTAAAGTCCTTATTTTCCTGTCGCATCGTTTATTTACACAAACCGTCAACATATTACTCGTCACTGTAGCCCTAATCTTCTCTAGCCGCATAATTAAAAAATAGTGACCTTTTGGTGTTCATTACAAACTAGTTCTTATTTGTAATACTGATATTGTTACTTAAAAATTAAGGATGATGATTTTGTATCTGTCTACTTCTCCACACTCCATACCTTCACAGTGTGAAGTAGGATAGTGTGGCAGAAATAAAACACAAGAGAGAATGATCGCATCATCAGCCATGTTTATAATCACCATAAGGAAAAGCGACGTGCTCGCATTTCCCTAGTAGACTGAAATCAGTAGTCAGTCTTCCTCTAAATAAGCACCGTATCTCGTTCCAAAGTTTTGACGTACTATACAACTATTTCAACCTCGCCTAGATTACTAGCTCGCTAGTTTTCTAGTCGATCCCAAGCCAGGATAAAGAGGGAGGATTGGGGCGTGGTGCTAGCAACTCCATCCCCAAAACTTAACCAAATCGCCACAGAAACTTCTACGCACAAATATATTAAAAAATATAAACAATAATCTTATTTTTCGCTGGAATCGGGGGAGTGAAATGACGCAGGCTGGTGAAGGCCTTCGGGAAGCCAGTCAGCCGATGTGCCTTCTTTCGATGAAAGTAAAAATAAGGATGGGTACGTGGAATTTTCGGACAATGTACGAAATTGGAAAAGCTGCCCAGGTAACCGCAGAAATGAGAAGATATGGAATAAAAGTGTTGGGAATCTGCGAGAGCAGATGGAACGGATGTGGAAGGTACCAACTGGAGAGACAATAATCTATTCCGGCCACCCAGAGGACAATCACGAGCACACCGAGGGAGTGGCCATCATGATGTCACCAACAGCAGCCAAAGCTCTCATGCAGTGGGAACCAATCCCCTCCAGGATAATGACAGCCAGTTTCAACTCAAAAGGAAGGAAGGTTACAATCATTCAATGCTATGCGCCTACAAAAGTCTCAGAACAAGAGAAGAAGGAGACGTTCGACAGACAACTACAAACAGTAATGGACAACGTCCCAAATGGCGATATCAAAATCCTGACGGGTGATATGAATGCGAAACTGGGAGGAGACAATACAGGAAGAGAACTCACCATGGTTCGTGAGGCCGTCGGCGAAATGAACGACAATGGTGAACTATTTTCAGACTTCTGCACCTTCAATGATTTGGTGATTGGTGGCAGTGTGTTCAAACACAAGGCGACATGGATTTCACCACATAGACTTCATTTCAATCTCGAGAAAGTGGAGACGGAGCCTACTGGACACAAGGTCAAGGAGAGGAGCAGATGTGGGTTCAGACCACTATCTAGTACAAGGGACTTTCAAGGTGAAACTAAAAGCCTCGAGGATAGCTGGGGATAGACCACAATGCAAGTTCAACACTCAAAAACTGAAGGACACAACGACAAAGGACACTTTCACTGCAACTGTTAGAGCAAAGCAGGAAACACAACGTGACATCACTGAAGAATCAGGTGTGGAAGACTACTGGAACTCTCTGAAGATGATTTTCAACGACACGTGTCCAACGGTTTTAGGAAGAAAGAAGAGACAAGACAAGGAATGGCTCTCAATGGACACTTGGAAGCTAATAGAAGAGAGGAGAATGGTGAAAGAGAAAATGATTCAATGCAAGGACGGACAGGAGAAGGAGACGCTGAGTTCAACTTACACAGCACTGGACAAAGAAGTGAAGAAGAGCGCTAGGAAGAACAAAAGCCGATTCTACGACAACCTGGCCACTGAAGCTGAGAAGGCAGCAGGCAAAAGGGACCTGAGGACACTATATCAGATAACCAAATCTCTATCCGGGAAGAGATCAACACAAGCGAAACCTATAAAAGACAGCCAAGGGAACCCAATTACCAAGGGAGAAAGACAGATTAAACAATGGGCGGAGCACTTCAAAGGACTCTTGAACCGACCCCCACCTGCAACCCGTCCAGAAATACCAACAACAGCGCGTACACAACTGCAAGTTGACACCAATCCTCCAACGAGAGCTGAAGTCTTGAATGCAATCAAGCTTCTGAAAGCTGGAAAAGCAGATGGAATACCCCCCGAAGCACTAAAAGTGGATCCAGAGACGACAGCAAATATGCTGACTCCATTATTGCAAAATGTCGGGAAGGAGGGAAAGGTACCTACTGACTGGAGGAAAGGTTACCTCGTGAAACTACCAAAGAAGGGCGACTTACGCCTCACTGTGCAAGAACTGGTGAGGAATCATGCTCCTGTCGACGCCAAGTAAAATTCTGAGTCACGTCATCCTGGAGAGAATTCCGATCAGAACAAGCTGGATTCAGGAAAGGCTAATCATGTTCTGACCAAATTGCAACTCTACGCATCATCATCACAGAACAAAGCATGGAATGGCAATCAAACCTCTACCTCAACTTTATAGACTTCGAGAAGCCCTTCGACAGCGTTGATCGCGAAGTGATTTGGAAACTACTCGAGTACTACGGCGTACCCCAAATATTCATCAAACTTATTCGACAGCTGTACGACAACGGAACATGTCAAGTCATCCACAACGGAAAACTCAGCGAGGCGTTTGCAGTAAACGCAGGAGTCAGACAAGGGTGCTTATTATCACCAATGATATTCCTAATTGTGGTGGACTGACTGGATTATGCGTCAGACAGTGGGAAACGAGAAGACAGGAATATCCTGGACCGACGTGAAGAACCTAGAAGACCTGGATTTCGCGCGTGGATGATTTATGTTTGATGTCACACAAAATCGAAGACTTACAAGAGGAAACCAACAAACTGGTCGAAGAAGCAGCCAGCGAAGACAGGACTCCAGGTGAACATAGACAAGACGGAGGTTATGAAAATAACCAGCCATCAACAACAACAGCAACATCCAGCGACAATCACCATCAACGGGAGGGATTTGAAAGAGGTTGCTTCATTCATTCACTTATCTAGGGAGCATTGTCTCAATTACAGGCAGCCGGAACGGATGAGGATGTCAAATCGAGCGAGAATCGGGAAGGCGAGAAACACATTCACCAACCTGAAACCAATCTGGAAATCTTCGTCACTCAGCATCAACAACAAAATTCAGCCGGATTTTCAATACAAACGTCAAGTCACTCAGTTCTTCTATACGGATCAGAAACTTGACGGGCGGGTCAAAAAGAATATTTCCAACAGCCTGTTGCAGACCTTTATCAACAACTGTCTTCGCTGGCTCTATACTGAAGATCAGATGGCCGGGCCGGAAAGAATCACCAACAAGGAACTATGGGAACAAACAAAACAAGAACCAATCGCCAACCAACAAATATGCAGGAGAGAGTGGAGATGGATTGGACATTCGTGGCTGAGGAGGCCGCTGGGTGACATCGCGCGCGCGTCGGGCCATTTCTCGAGTGGAACCAGGACGAAAGGGATCGGCGAGTGGGACATCAGTGCAAGGGTGACATGTCGGAGATCGTGGGAAGAGGAGATGAAAGAGTATGGACTAACATGGATGCAGGTGAAAAGTACAGCAGAAGACAGAAGTGGCAAGAGGAGACGTGCATTTGAAGCCCTATGTTCCACTATGAACCTAAGGGAACGATAATAATAATACAGCTATTTCTGATTATGGGAGGAGTAGCCCATCCCATATGTCATCTAATATTCAGTAGTATATAAGCTTTAAATCTATTCAGATTAGGCAATGAAATGGCACAATCAATAAAATGAGTCCGCAGACTTTATGGAGTAAAATGGACCGAATGCAAAATGTCTACATTGATGAAGCCAACTGATTTCTTCCGATCAAGCAATATAACTAGTGTCAGGCATATTTTGTAGTTTTTATACCTGTAACCTATACAAAGCAAATCAACAATTCGCTACGGATACAGTATTTCTTGAAATATATTGAATAAATACACTTACTAGCCTCATATATTAGTATATTATTTAACTCTGTTTTACAACATGTAACTCTATTTTATAACATGTAACACCTTGTCAACTATCAATACAATTGCATAATACATATCATAGGCTAAATATCCCATTACAGAGTTGAAGTACATGTATATTTCACCGTTCCAAACAAATTCTCATTGGATTTCTTAGAGTTATGCATAGTTTTTAATTTCATATCATAGTACCAATAGTTTGATATTGGAAAGTCTATATTATTATTATCATGTAAAATTTTATGATGAGTAGTGTGATTCTTACGTTTTACTTTCTTTCTTTTACCATTAACTTTGATGTCAATATCGAGAGGCATTCTGTTCATCAGTTTTCTTTCATCATTAGCATAACCTGATACTGGATCACGTTGACTATTTGTTTTATGTGAAAACACTGAGGGTGATGATAACGACGAGGAAACTAACTTTTCTGACTTTTGTGTTTCCACTTTCTGTTTCGGTTTAATCCTTTTATGCTTCGATTCCTCGTTCATATTATAATGATCATTGAGGTTAACTCTTAACATATTCGACTTTAATCGACAATAACCACTTGTAACGTTAGAATTAACACCTTTATTATCATAATCCGCATCACTAGGCATAAGATTGTGCATTTTATTATATTCTAAATTTATATTTTCCAGTACTTCTTCATTTCCTAATATCCATGATATATATTCGCCTAAAGATGCTATTTGACCTTGAACTGTTGTTTGAATCAATGGATTAAATAATGCATAACCTTCATCGTCATTTTCACTAGTATTATTATTATCATTATCAGTGTTAAATGCAGTTATACTTGTCTCTGGATAATGCATATATCTTATTAAAGTTGATTTAATTTGTTTTAATACTTCTTTTTTATTAATTATTAAATTTTCTTTTTTCATTTTATTTTCCAAACTGTATGATATGATTATTTCATTTGAATAAGACTCATTTATTTGTTTGTTATCGTTGTGTTATTTCAACTATGATTTCACCTTATATTCTAATTAGTGTGTAATTCTTAATTCACTATCTTCACACACCTATCTCACTTTATCATAAATTATACGTATGTATACACAAAACTTTCTTTTAATGTAGAATACGACTTTCTTCTATTTCTTTTTTCTTTTTTTATCAATACTTATTGATTGTATTTAAGTCAAGAAAGATATGATTGTTCCAGCCTCTGTACGTAGTGCATAAATAATATTATTTTTTTTCTCTGAAAATTCAAGTTTCAATTGATGTGGTAAACACGTTGACATGTTGTGTATTAACTAACCCAGGCGCTGATGGAAGTCTTCATATGCCTTTATCTACATTTATCGATCAATTCTCTTTGATTTCTATAAATCATGTGATATGACTAAAATGTAGTTATTAATTAGTCCGTTCTAAATATAGAAAGTTATAAGTAGTATATATATATATGTGTTTTATTCTAACTGTAAAGTTTTTTTTTAAATATGCATAAAATGTCTTATATGATAAATAATTCCATTCATAAACTAGAAGTTATTTTGTGAGTTTAATTAAATTGATGACAATGAAATATGTGGAAGTTATTATTTAAGTATTAATGTAGTTGTGTTCTCTAAGCTGAGATGGTTTATTTGCGTAGGTTTCATTATCATCCTCGATAACCTCTTTATTTCAGACTACATTGACTCCTAGCTTAGAAATGTGAGATGATGCTACAGGACTGGACTGCATCAGCTCCTGGCTTAAAAATGGGAAGTGAACTTGTAGTATGTTGACCACTTCATTTATTTGGGAAGTTGCATCAGCACAAACGTGCTGGCCACTGATGAAATCGCAACACATACAGAAAGTTAGTGTGGAATTTTTGAACTTACTCCAATCCCCATTTCTAATCAGTTTCATCATAGATGTACTAATGAACTTAACCTTAACTCACTTCAGAGACTCAGGGATTGACTTGCTACCAGGGAATAATCTCGTTGACTTACAAAATTCAGATGATATAGTCCTTCTAGGTGAGGACACTGACAAAATGCGGAGTATTCTGAACACCTTGAGCTGCAATCTACGAATGTTTGGCATGCGATTCGCTCCAGCCAAATGTAAGATGATGTTACAGGACTAGACTACACTGACTCCCAGTTTAGAAATAGCAAGTGAAGTAGTAGAGCACGTTGAACACTTCACTTATTTGGGAAGTTGCATCAACCAACGCCAGCAGGTTGGTCTTTGACGGAATCTCAGCACGGATACAGAGGGCTAGTTTTGCATATGCCAGTTAACGCCGTCTCTGGTGTAGACATGATATCCGGCTGGCTATTGACTAAAGGACGTGTGTACTGCTCAGCAGTTCACTCCGTCCTCCTTTATGGCTGTGAGCAGAACATGGCCATTGAGAGTAGATGACATGAAGAGCCTGGCTCGCTATCTTTGGTCATCGGTGTCTGCCTTCTATCTTCCGTATTAAATGATATAACAAGGTGAGCAGTATTGAGGTAAGGCATTGGTCGAGTGCTAGGTAGGTGGGACGGGAAATCAATCAGGGAAGCTGTGAAGTTACATCGATTGAGATAGTTAGGACATGTGTTACGCATGCCTAGCCTAGTTATCGCTTTCCTCGATGGGCAATTTTAGCTGACAACAGTTAGTTTAAGCCACGTCGGTGGCACAGTGGTTAGGACTCTCGCCGACTATGCACATGGTCCGAGGTTCTATCCCCTGCCGACTCATACCTGATATCTATGGTCGGCCTGCAAAATTTGGACTACCGATATCCATGCTGAAAATTCCATACCTGTAACAAAAATAGAGTGTGGAATCAAGCTGTAATAAAAAAAACGTGGGAAGGTGTACACTTCCTGGTTGGGTCCTTGAGACGATAAAAACCAGTTGTTGAAGACAATTGGTGATATGGCACAAAATCGTTCTCAATGACTGGCGCAGATGCATCCACTCCTTGTGACTTATAATATCCAAAACTAAATCCTCCATGCAATCAAACAAAATCCCTACAAAACCAATACTTGAAAATTAATCTGTGCTCACTAGTGACTGGCCCTATTCAGGCAGTTAACCTGGGGTTCTAGTGGGAAGCTGTGACCAGTAGGGTACAACAGGTCGAAGATGAGGCAGTAACTCATCGAAGAAGACATTGCGAAGTGGTCGCGCTATGTCGTGAATTGGCAGAAGTTAGAATTCAAGGACCATTGGATCGGGTCCAGTGGCTCAATGGTCTACGAGCTCGCCTTGTAACCAGAAGGTCCTGGGTTCGAATCCCGGTGGGTGCGTACTGATGAGGAGTCCCAAACTAGGACGAAACAGCTGTCCAGTACTCCCAGGTTTTCCAGTGGTTCTCTAACTGATGTCAGCTCATGATTAAATCCTCCATGCAATAAAACTATATTTGTTCCTCAATATTACTATTCTGTTTGCCTCATATCTCCGTTTACTCTCTCTTTACTCTCTTCTCTTGCTTTGTGTGCTACTTGAAGGGAGTGTGGCAATTCGAACTGCTGCACGTCTGTACAAAGTTCTACTTTGAAACCAGTTAGTCAGTCAGCTTCAGACTTTAAAAGGAATTGAGTTGTTTCTGAATTCTCTGTGAATGATATAATTATGCGCTGAAGGTATTGTTGAGAATGATAATGAAAACTTCATAAATATAAACCATCCAGCCCAGATAAAACGACTTTACTAATACCAAAGTCATCCACCTGAGATACAAATCATCTCCGTCGTTTCTATATCATTATTTGAATGTTGCTGTTTTTTTTGTATGACACTGTAGAGATTGCAAAGAAGAGAGATTAATGTTGTTGTGTTTTTTTTTAATTATCAAATTTACAAATGACATTATTGCGTCACATAGAAAATCTTGATGCACTTAATCTAAATCATCCATAGCAAAACATTTATTAATGTCTGGTCACAAAATGAATATTGATAGGCTGTCAACTAAACTGGTCACGAGTTTGAAAACGTTTTTGATCCAACGATATCTGAGCAGCCAAGTAGTACAATCAATTGGTCCAAAACTAATAAAAGAAATTATGCGACAACTAATCTGTAGTAACTGTCGCACAAAACGGCAATGTTCAGCTTGTATGGAACTCATGGAATTTTGTCTTACAACAATTACAACCCAATTCAATACTCAAATATACGAACAGATTAAAGGAACACCAATGGGATCGCTGATATCAGGATTAATAACTGAAGCCGTCATACAAAGATTGGAATTAATAGCTCTACCTATAATTAAACCGAAATTCTGGTCACATTACGTTGATGATACATTTGTAATGGTCAAACGAAATGATTTAGAACGTACCCACAAATTCATAAGCAACATATTTGAAGACAGTTGTTATAATAATAGTGAGTTTCACTCAGGATGCACATAGAAACAAAGTAGATAATACGAAATTATCTAAGTGAATACAAGAATTATAATTGCTTAAGGTTATTTTGACTAAACAGGCAAAGCTTGGTAATAAAAGTCAAGATAATTAAGTGCTAGGGTAGTAACAAAGGTGATGGTTGTCACAAACAGTTGTTAAAAGAAGTTATGTAACAATAATATGAATAGTTTGATGAGTGACTTTTACTCAGGATGCACATAGAAACAAAGTAGATAATACGAAGTTATGTAAGAGATCTAAGTGAATACAAGAATTATAAGCAATTAAGGAACAGGCAAAGAAACAAAATTAAGTCATCAAAATAAAAATAAAACTTGACTTTTATTACCAAGCTTTGCCTGTTTAGTCAAAATAACCTTAAGCAATTATATTTGAAGACATCAAATTCACAAGAGAAGAAGAATTAAACAACAAAACTCCCTTCTTAGATGTCTTAATCAATAGAACTAACGCAGGAAATTTAGGAACACAAGTATGCAGGAAATCAACTCACACAGACCAAATGCTCAGCTATAGTAACAATAACCCATTTACTCACAAAGAAAACTGTGTGCGGACATTGTTTAAATGAATCAAAAAGCACTGTAGCACTCCAGTGTTGAAGAGAATGGAGGAAACACAAAAAGAATGGATACCCACATAATTTCATCAAAAAGTTTTTAAACTCAAGTTGTAATACCAACAAGAAAAATTCATTCTACCCCAGATACAAGTAATATCTCTGAAATAACGGCTAGAATTCTAAAACCATTTGAAATCGATATAGTACACAAGCCAGCAGAATCGCTTCATTCACAGTATTGTGCACACCACAGGATTCAACAGCAAAAGAACACAAGATCAATAATATCTACAAAATGAATAGCTATAAACTGTGATAAACACTAAACTGGACCATCTGTTGCAAACCGGCCACAAAGCCAGCGTGGAAGAAAACTTCTCTATAATCTACCGGGTGCCTAATAAACTGCCATAATTATCGAAGCACCGCATGCTCCAAACAGCAGAGGCCATTGCAATTCGCCTCAAAAACCAGTGCTCTGTGCTCAAAAGAAGCAAGTTCAGCCCCTACTACTACCTTGGCCTTCAGTAGAGACTATAAATTCTTGAATTTCTAATATTATCTTTCCTAATTTTTCTGTCATTCAGCTTATTTTATGTTGATGCTATTGAGCTGTAATCTATCAATATTATTGATTCGATGTTATTTAAACAACATTAATGTTGTTCATAACACTAATTCATTCATTCACTATAATGTAGAGCCTGATGATGAAGTTATTGAAAAGAGTACTCTCTGTTCAGTATCCATTCTTTTGAAAATTTTAATGGGCATTTTCAATCAGTCAAAACGGATATCCCTTTCTACTCAGAATTCAAGAAATTAGCTGTGAAAAGACACGATACGTATTCTTTCAAATCGTTGCATGTACACAGTTATGGCTACCACTACGATTGGGTAAATGTAGAAATTCGAAACGGAGGAAACACTAAAA